CAAAGGAATGCCTGCTGCATGACTATCGCCCTAAAAGAGCATCAGTTGATGTGCTGACACAGATTCAACTCCAAACTCCCTTTTCTGTTTCTTTCTCTTGACCCAACCATTCCCATCATACTTTTGTAGGCCACCTCCTCCCCAGATTCAAGGAATTTTCTGTCTCTGGCTCCCAGGACTTTCCTGGAATAGTCAAAATTGTCTTCTGCTTCCTCTGTCCTGACACATTTCTGCTTTGATTTGTGGAGTTGCAATCTCTTTTTGACACCTTCCTTTCTTTGCCGTTACTTTGTTTTTCTACTCACTGATACTGAGGTTTCTTCTCACTTCATCATCTGACTCTCTTGACTTCCTGATCTTTCTCCTCACTACTTTTTGCCATTTCTGATATTTGGACAGATTTACAACCTTTCCGACCACCTGACACATGCGGCTCCACCCCTAAACTTCTGCCTTCTCTGTGAACAGGTGAACCCGTCTCTTGTGTCAGCACCTCCAGTCCATCATACCTCCAGAGTTCCCTCATTCTTCCCAGACCTCCCTCTATCCCTAAACAACTTATCCTCATGCTCCTGTTTCTTGAATTTCCCCTTCTGGACTCAAACCCTGGCAGGCAGCCCTGCTTCTTAACTGATTGAGCCTGCTCAGCAAGTTGGAGAAATAGCAGAGCAGCCAGTGTGGCTGTTCGGAATGAAGAAGGACTGGAGATGAGATCAGATAGGTGCAGGGGCCAGTTTTTGCAGGGCCTTGTGGACTTTGATGTGCATTTAAGACTTTGTTCTGAACAAGGTGGAAGGAACTGAAGTTTTTTTGACTAGTAGAGTGACATGTTCTAAAAAACATGATACTGACAGCTATGTGGAGAGGGGGGTGGGACACTGGTTATGAGGCTATGGCAATAGTCTAGATGAGACAAGAGGTACTAGAGAGGTGGAGGGGTTGTCAAGTTCTGGTTCTATTTTGAAGTGAGTTCTGACAACATTTCCTGATGGATTGGACGTGAAGTGCGACAGAAAAGAGAGTCAAGGATGATTCAGAAGCAACTGGAAAAACACAATTGCCATTAACCAGGCTTCATAAGAAGACTGTGGGATGAGGAAAAATAGGAGGAGGAAAGTTCATTTTTTTGGTATGTTAAGTTTGAGGTGACTTTTTAGATATCCCAGTGAAGATGTCAGGTTGTCAGCTGGATATCTGAGTCTAGAATTCAAGACAGATCCAGGCCAGAAATGAATCTGAAACTGCTCATGTCTAGATGGTGTGTGAATTTACATGGACAGAGGGCAGTGGACTGAGTCTGGCTCACCAAACACTGGAAGGTCAAGTGTCAGCAGCCAAATGCAGAGTTCAACAAGGAGAGCCTAGTCTGTGACTTGTTACAAACTTGTCTGGACAGGTTAGTGTACATGTAAGCACACTGTCACAGACTTCGCATTACTGGGTTGATGTAAACAGCAGTTTATTTTACTGTTTACTTTGGGGTGGCATGTAAGAAATTATGAACTATTCCTGATAGTTTGGTTATCTAAGTGGATTTGACCCCATGGAGGGCATTGGCAGCAGTGACCTGAACAGTCCCAATGGAGATGAAAGCCTTTTGGCAGTGAGCTCAAGAGAGACAAGGAGGAAAGAGAAAAAACAAGTGCCATCAAATGCTTCCAGGAAATTTTCCAGAAACGAGAACAGAGAAATGGGTCAGTAGTAGCTGGAGATAGATCAAGAGGCCATGGGCAGACAGCTGGTTAGTTTCAGAAGGAATGACAGCTGAATTTCTGACCACTGTACCACTGCTTTAGTCACGCCCCTCCACGGCACCCTTCCTTACATGCGCTGTCCACACTACCCCCATCCGATTCCTTCCACCCACCCACCAAGGCCAGATGACCCACATCACCTACCACATCCTGCTTCCTGCCAGCTGGGGGCGCTGTCTGCAGCTGCTCACTTCTGACCTCCATGCATCATTTTCCAGAAGTGTTTTCGTGAGAGGGCTTTGGTTGTGGGGTTCTACTGGTCTCAGTAGCTTTTGTCTGCAGTGTGTGTCAGAGTTCTCTGTTTTTACTGTAGATCAAAACTGCACAATGTTCCCCTGACAGTCTTCAGAGGGGAGGCAGAACTGCTATGAAAACTATAAAGTTTCGGATTCCTTTAGATCCTGGAAGGTAGCATTCGGTAGCAGCAACAAGAATATCTTTCACTTTCCTTCAAGGCTGGAAGGGCTGATTCACACTAAGAGAGCAGGGACTGGAACTTATTTTTAAAACCAACAGAAAAGCCTCAGCAGTTACCCAGGGCTTTCTCTTTGAAAAAAACATCAAAAACTGGGTAGGAACGGTAGGCAGAGAGAATGAGCCTTCTAGTTTAAGATATAGCAAGCTCAGTGAAACTCTAAACAAGATACAACTACAAACACTGCTTCGCTTCCAGCTCCCTCGGGGGTGTGTCACAGTGAGGGGGCCAGGGCACTTCCTCAGGGTCTTCCTGTGGACCAGCTCCCTGCAGAAGCACCAGTGTTCAGCACTTTTAAAAGGTGAGAACAGAGTGCTTGTGATCAGGATGAAAACACAACAAGCATCAGAGATGGCGTGGGAAGAAATTCCTAAGCAAGAGAGGCTGTTAGGACGCCTGAGCGGCTACCCCGAGAGATCACAGCATAAAAGGTGCTGGCACCTCCCCTCCTTAGTCCTGATGAGTGCCCATCATTGCCAAGCTGTCTTATGGGGTCATGGCATAGTCTAGGGCCCCTTCTCCCCAGCAGATGGCAACTCAGATACAGTGCAAGATCCAGGAGGTTGGTTGTGGGCACGATTCCCTGGTCTGAGATGTAGTGAGGCTGCAGGGGGAGTTGAGCCAGATGCAAGCAGCAGCTGCATGTGCAAAGGCTCCTGGCCTCAGATCTGCTGGGAGGAGCAAGGAGTCACTTCTCCTTATCACAGGGCAGAAATGAGCGCCAACCTAGACAGGAGGAAAGCGGAGCCCCAGAGGCTTGTCTGTGATGTGCCTGGCAGCTCGGGAGGGACAGGGCTAACAGGATTGAGGTTTGGAGTGATCACTCTGGTGGCAGTGATCTCAATCTGGAGAAGATGTGACTTTTCTCTTGGTCTGTTTTGTGGTTAGATTCTGGAGGTGGGCACTTAGCCTAGTAGGTTAGAACGCCTGTTATGGGGGCTTTGACTGTTGGCTCCAACTCCAGTTTTCTGCTGAGGCACACCCTGGGAGGCAGTGGTGAAGAATGAAGGGGTTGCGTTCTTGCCTCTCACCTGGGAGACACAGATTGAGTTCCAGCTCCCTGATTTGGGCTGAACCCTGAATGCTGTGGGCTTGTGGGAGGGTAACAAGTGGGAGACAGCATTTGGTCGCTTTTTCTCTCTGCTTCTCCACAAAATATTAAATAACTGAAGAAAAGTCAAATTCTGTTCTTCCCTTCTAGGTCTGACTATGCTTATTTTTGGCTCCAACAGCTGAGAGTTTTGTCCTATTTTTTTTTTTTTTAACATTCAGATAATTGCATTTTTTCACCTATACACCTAGGTCACAAGGGCACAAGACAATCAACCCCTATAATGAACCATTATGAGGTAATTTACTGTGGTCAACTCTGCTTATGAAAATGACCATCAGTTACAGAGCCATGAGCTGCTGTGGCTTTGAGGGTTTCCATGGCCCCTCACCTCCAGGCGCCTGGCTGCAATTTCAGCAGCACAAAAGCTGCCCACCACAGTCCTTGGGAAGTTCTCATCAGTGTGGGGTGAAATGGAGAGAAGCCAAGAACAACGTCGTCAATCTTTCACAAAACAAAAGGTGTCTTTCCAAAGGCCTGCTCTTCTAAACTACATGCTACTTCCATTTTGAGTGTTAAGATTCCCTTCATTTTATTAAGTGAGGGCAACACAATGTTTTTTAAAGCCTTAGGTGGCAACATAGCTGGTAATCTTACATCCAAGCACTCACATATATATATTTTTAAATGTGAGATTTCAAAGGCTGGGTAGGCCTGGTGTGGGGGCTCTCCTCCTTGCTGGCAGGCACAGTGGTCACCTGCTATCGGTCAGGTAGAGGGAGGGGGCTCATCTAGACTAACCAAGGCAGACAGCGAACTGGGCAGACAATCAGGGAAAGGTTGCCAAAGTGTAATTTCATCACATGCCTCTCTAATAGCTTTGGAACTTAGCATTTTTAAAAAGCTCTCTTGCTCCTCTCCCTCTCTATCTGAAAGGCATACAGAGACACAAAGAAGAGGGAAAGACAAAACTTTTTAATCATCTGGTTCAATTTTGCCATTAAACATGGCCCTGGCCCAGGACTTTTCCTATTATGAGTTTCCAACTTAGGAATATTTGGTTCCTCACTCTCAAGTTTCGTTGTTGTTTTTTAGGTGAGGGGATTTGCTAGGAAAAAACCTATTCATAGTTCAAACGAACTAAAGTGCTAACTGCATACTACAAAAATGCACAGTCAACAAAAACAGTAGCTTAGACGGCATCGTTTCATATTTATTTTTGAGTGTTCGAAAAGGATCAAATGCATTAAAAATAATGTAACAGCAGACAGCTCAGACAGAGGAACAGAAATACAAACACCATACAAAGATTTGTCTTTGCTGCCCCCCCTTCACTTCAAAAATTAAGTCACCACCACCCCTACCCCCTGCACGTCAATCTCATTGGTTGGTTTCTCAGGAAGAAAAAGAGAGGATTTCTGCAAGCCTCTATGCTAATCTCTAGAACACAACAGAACCAGACGGACTGATTATACCAGGCGTGGCTGGCAGCAGCAGGGACGCAACACGTCACCAGTACAACAAAGCAGATAACACACATGCTGGTTTTTTAAATCAGTAGTTTTATTACAATTCACACTGACACACAATTAGCGAAGGAATGTTCTGACACTTTCTGAGCATTTCACGGAAAGCAAATGTTAACTACCCAGGCAGGAGAGTCATCCACACCTTTTCCAAACAAAAAGCAAAAGTTTTTACATGTGGTAACTGAAGGAAACAAAGTTCTCGAATTCCTGTCTGAAAACAGCCTGTGTTCCAGGGAAGCAGACTGAAAGAGGAAGTGTCCTCCTCGCACAGCGCAGAGTCCTGCCACCACACCCCAACCTTGACCTTTCAAGTGACTTCTGGGGACACTGCAGCTGCCGGGAGGTGTTCAGGGGCTACAAGAATCTACTTAGAGGGTTAGCTATTACACTTCACTGTCATTGAAAGGAAAGGATAAATTAAGACAGTTAAGTTTTCCTAAAATGCACAAAGACAAGGGAAAAAATACCTGGGTATATAAAAAATGAGATGCTCTTTTCACATAACTCATTTAAAAGGTTACAATTACCATAAACATTTAACTCCATTAGAGATCACTGGCAAGGCTTGCTTTTATATATCTGCAAGAGGGCCCTGCCTCTGCCCAGGTCTGGAGCCAGCAGTGTGTGTGCCAAGTCACCGGCCCCGGGGAAGCAGGCGTCAGACTACTGGGAGGGTTGCATAGGCGTTTTTCAGATCCACTGCGTAAGACACTATGGGATCTTGAGAAGTTTCCTCTCTCAGTAGTCCTCGTGCCTGTCATGTGCTTCCATCCCTTTAGTGTCCAAACACACCAAGCGTTCTGGGAGAAACACACCGAAAGGATGTTTTAGATGAATTCACCACACATTATGGTACTTGGGAGCAGCAAAGGAAAAGAGCCTAATCCTGACCCTGCTATTTTAAATAGAAAAGCATTACAGGAGGAAACTAAAAGGAAAAAAAAAAAAGAAGACAGGCAACTATCAATAATTTTGGTAAATCTGAGCTATGGAGAGAAGTCCTTGTCACATTCCGTCCACTAGGGAACCCATTTGGATTTTCATGTCTGACTGCATCAGCAGAAGATACACTGCTGCACATATTTACAGGTATGTGCATGCACAGTTATAAAATTCATATCATGAAAGTCTTTTAGATACATACACATGTAAAACCTGCACCCCTAAAAAATAAACACATTAGCCAGTAGTCAGTTAACTCTGTAGAGTTTCTTCACAAACCAGTCAGAACAGTCTCCCAACAATGGCACACGACCAGCTGGCTGCCCTCTCAGGTCCATTACCTATTGATAAACATTTTAAAATTCAGATGTCTAATAGAACATCCCCAGAATAGAACATTGATGGAATTATGGCTTTGCAAACAAGGATCTGTATTTCCTTGATGTTTCATTTCTATCAATGTTGAGGCTTTCCCTCTGTGTTTGCCCAGCAGTGGGAGAGCATTTGCTCAGGACCACATTCGATACTGTGACACACCCTTCTTATCAAAGGACTGTAGCTGGTATTTCCTTTGCTGTTTGCAGTTTCCTTTGCTGAGGGAACCATCACAACATTGTGTCTCATGCTGCTGGTGGATCACAGTGAGTTGTGTGTGTTCCAAGGTAACTTATGATGTGTGGATATCTTTGAGGTGAAGCAGAAGTTGCTCTGGCATTTAAGAAATGAAAAAGCTTCCCAAGAGAAAAACATAAAGGACTGGGTGGTGAACAACAGGCTCCACGAAGGAACTCAAAATGTTGCCTGAATAAACATGCTGGATATCTGACACTGTAGTTTAAACAAGACAAAAACACTCAAAATACTTCCTTTAGAAACGATGCAGTTCGCAAAAATGGAGTATTATTTTTTTTAACTTTTTCATTCTCCCCACCACAAAAACCTTGAAATAAAAGAAACCACACCAAGTTGTTTAGTATAGTACAAAACTTAACAACCTTGTCATTTGCATTTGAATACAGGAATCTCAGAAATATAGAAAATCCATGATAATGATAGCAAGAATGTTTAATGCCATTGCCCACATTTTTTAAAAGGAAAATTTTTCATAGTTGATACAACTTCTAAAAAATATTTTTTTTTCGGATGTGCTCACAGTTCCAGATTGCTAACCTATAAATTAAATGGGAAAAGTATCCATATATATAAACAAGGCCTCTTGTTCATTGATTTCAATCTTGGTTAAACCTTTGGATATTTCAATCTTCAGATGTCATAAGGTAAGGCTGAGTTCATTGGATATAAATAAAATGTTTAAGTCTATGATGCACTGCAGCACTAGAAAAACAAACGCATCAAATATTTACAGGTCGGCTACAATATCTTAAGAAAAACTAAACTGTCTATCAGTATCAAGCCACACTCATTTCTGAACCCTTTTAGTTGCAAAAATAATAATAATAATAAACAACAGGAATTTTTTTTCTCACTCCTGTCTGCTCTTAACCCTGAAGTCAAGGCAGGTCTTAGGTGGCAGGGCGCGGTCTTTTGGGAGGCGGTGGGGGCATGAGCTCTGCGTCGGGGTCCAGATGATGCTTTCGCTTCTGTCCTTGAAAAGCTGCAGCACATCTGTCGATGAACTCAAACAGCATCTCCTTGGTGACAGGGTTTGAGATGCTATTGCACACAGCTGGGGACAAAGGGAGGCAAGGGTCCCACGTGAGGGTTAATGAAGGCAGCTGACTCACCACAGCGGCTTTCCATCCCAATATGCTAAATATTTGCATTTCACCAATTTGGGTGATAAACTTCATTTAGCTTACGCCAATATCCTCCCCCCCACCCCACAACCTAAAGAAGTCTCCAAGGGCCACGCTTCGTGGCAGTATTTACTTTAAACTCAAACTTTAAGTATTTGGAATAGAGCGTGTGTCTGCACTATGGTTTTCTAGCCCTCCAAAACAATTCTTAAGGGATTTTTGATGTAGCTTGGTACACTGAACTCCAGAAAACATGCACTCTAATCCTACCCAGCTATCACCCCTACAGAATGAAGAGGCCACACTGCAGCTGGCAGACTGTATTACTATAATAACATTTGAAGATTCAACAAAATAACCTAACACCTAAAGCACCTTTTCTTAAGTGATTAAAATTTTGCACCAGTCCTTTTAATTTTACTTAGTCTGTCTTGAAAAAGACACTGACTTAATCATTTCTGTTTTTGAAATTAACTAGCTTTGTCTGAACACAAAGCTAATTAATTTCTATTTCTAACAAGAATCACTGAATGTGCAACATTGATTTTTAAACTATTGAGTTGCCTAACCAGGCAACTTTCATATTTCCCTCATAAGCTTATCATATTATCATTATCATCACCATCATCAACTCAGCATTGTACAAAGTAAACAATCCTATACTTGGTGTTCTTCAAATAAGAGCAATGGTACTAGTAGTGTGTACCTCATAAACTTTGTTTTGTTCCCCATGAAAGACTATTCTGAATTCCCAAAGTGCTCATCTTGTACCAAAGAAGGAAAACTTAGCTGATTTTTTAAAATGGTTTTCATTTACTTTGTTCTCTATTATTTCTAAAGCTATTTTAGGAATGGAAAATTACATTTCCCCCTGCTAATTTTGTCTTTTACCATCTGGCAAACAATGGTTTTATAGTTTTGAATAGATCTGAAATTATCTGGTTTTTACTATTGTTCAAGAAATTCAACTTGTATACATCCCAGTGTGTTGCACTTTACACTTCTCTTTTAGGCATGTAGACACCAATTTACCAGTCCAGGAGAGCTCATGAGCCATCGGGAGTCAGGGAGGGCACTGACTCAACACACCATCTTTTTGGCTAAACAAGGATTGGGTCCAAATGACCAGCTCTTATTAAGGCAACAAGGACTGCACATCTGAGCTCTGCGACCTTGACTCTTGTGTGTGTTCCACCGAGAGGCTGTGGTACTTACCCATGGCAGTGTTATAGGCATTAGGAAAACTTTTGTCTGTTCTCTGTCTCATGAAGACCCAGCTGTTATTCTCAAATTTGCATTCTATGATTTTGTTGTCATACTGTTTTAGCTCTTTTGTCACCTGTTTTAAAAGAAAACCAAGGAAAATATTTAAATCATTTGAAAGGCTTTTTGCTTGCACTGTGTGACAGCCACATTAGGATATGCCAGAAACACCCCAGTAACTCTTCATGTGGAGCTCTTCGTCAGCCGACGTGTCTCATCAAGCCTAGAGCCATGGAGTGCACTCCCTTGCACACAAGCTCATTTATCCAACATCTTATAAACAGTCGTGAAAATGGCTGTCAATACATGGCAATTAAAAGAAGTTAAGTCGAAAGCAACCACTTCTGGGCCAAAGGCAAGTATGTTACCACGGGGACCAATGCCTTTAACACTGTTTGGGTCCCTATGGCTTCCAAAACTGCATATACTGTCTAGGATTACCAGTTTTCAGGAAGGTCACATCATGTACATTCCTACATCAAAACCTAAGAAATGCCCTTTACTGGTGGAAAGAGAAAATTACACATAAAAACGAAACACTAGGATCAAATTCAGGCAATGTGCAAGTTAAATGTAATGACTTCCCAAAAACCCTAGATCTTTTACCCATTCTATCTCCAAACTAGTATGAATTTGGAGCTGAGGTGACTGTTTACTTTAGCTGGTGGGTTTCTGGCTTCTTTACCCCAGATGATGGAATATGAATTACAACTTACTCTATCAAAGCTAACAAGTATCCATGGTAACTACAGAACTCCTTTAAAACTCTTTTTAAAGGAGATTTCATTGGGCTGTGAGAATGGTTTTCATAAATAGGAATCTAAGCTTATCTTTGCAGTTTCAAATCAAATGCCAGTCATGGTAATATTTTAATTTTGCCTTCATCTTTCATAGCTAACAACTTTTCCTCACAATATAGTAGATTGCAATCATTTAACTTCATTAGCATTATTTGAAACACTCTCATTTTTCTATCCTTCTATTCACTACCTACCTAGGACCATGAAGGGAACAAAATTTCTTAAAAATGCTTTTAATTCACACATTAGGCAGTGCATGTCTTCATTCAAAACTTTCAAACTGTTTCATTTTTCCTTAATGGATATTAGGTTTGACTAGACTACTTGCATTTTCAATGAGTCCAACAGGACTAATATATTCAGTGGTTCCGGAACTAAACCTGCCTCCAAAATGATATTCCAAATGCCAAATCTGCCAAGCTTTTTCTCGAATATTCATTATTTTAGTTTCAATCTCCTTCTGATGCCAGGCCAAGGGACCTACTTCCTTTTATGTCTGATACATAATTTATAGCTAAGTATTGGGAAATTGTACTTATGCATACCATACGTAATGCTTAACAAAAGCTAAGTTTCTAAATCAGAGTCTCTTTTCTAATTCCTGAAGTGAACAAGTGAACTCCAAATTTATTGCGTCATTGGAAAAACAACAAACAAAAGTGTCTAGTACACAGCAGACAATTAGTAAGATTGCTAATTGAAAATAAAATCAGGGCCTAGCATGATGGCTCAATGGTTAAATCCTCGCTTTGTATGTGCCCGGATCCCATAAAGGTACTGGTTTGTGTCCCAGCTGCTCCATTTTCCTTCCAGCTCCGTGCTTGTGGCCTGGGAAAGCATTAGAGGATGGTCCAAGGTCTCAGGACCTTGCACACCCATGGGAGACCTGGAAGAAGCTCCTGGCTTCAGATCAGCTTGGTTCTGGCCACTGTGGCCACTTGGTGAACGAACTGGTGGATGAAGGCTCTTTCTATTTCCTCCTCTGTAACTCTGCCTCTCCAATAAAAACAAATCTTAAAAAAAAAAAAAACACAGAGTAGTTTTTTTTTTCTTTTTAAAGAAAAGGAAATTAAGCAGTAAAATTTTGCTTTTCAAAAACTGGTTAAAAAAAAAAAGGTAGTATTAAAGTTACCACCATAACCATTTAAAGCATGTAATTCAGTAGTGTTATACCATTGTGTGCAACACATTTAAACTTTACTAAAACTCAGGACCTACTAAATGCTAATTCCCAGCTCTTCTGCTGCACCGACCTTGATCACCACCTGATTTCTATGATTTTGACTACTTTGCATAAGTCATACAGTGTTGGTTCTTTTGTGCTTCTCTTATTTTGCTTAGTATAAAGTTTCTGACGTCCATTCATGCAGCATGTGACAGGAGTCCCTCCCTTTTAAAAGCTAATAGTCATATATATATATGCATATATACAACTGTTTATTTAACCATTTATCTGTCAATGGACATTTTGGAGGCTTCTACTTCCCAGTTATGGTGACTAACAGTGATGAACTGGGGTGCAAAAACGGCTCTTGAAATTCTACTTTGGATTCTTTTAGATATATACCCAGACATGGAATTCCTAGATCATATGTTAATTCTCTCTCTCTCTCACTTTTATTTAAGGACCTCCACACAGTTTTCTAGGGTGAGTACACTGTACCCTTTTCACATTCTCAATAGCAGTGCACAAAGCTTCCAAGTTCTCATCAAAAAACATATATGTTTTTCAAGGATGGCTTGCTAATGTGCACCCTGTATATTATTAGCCAACAGTGTGGTGAGTTTTCTTTCTTTTTTAAGATTTATTTTTATTGGAAAGTCAGACTTTACAGAGAGTAGGAGAGACAGAGAAAAAGATCTTCCATCTGTTGGTTCACTTCCAAAGTGGCTGCAATGGCTGGAGATGAACCAATCCAAAGACAAGAGCCAGGAGCTTCATCTGGATCTCCCACACAGGTACAGGGTTCCAAGGTTTTGGGCCATTCCCTATTACTTTCTCAGGCCATAAGCAGGGAGCTGGATGGCAAGTTAAACAACTGGGACACAAATTGGTGCCCACATGGCATCCTAGTGCATGTAAGGTGAGGATTTAGCCATTAGACTATTGTCCTGGGCTTAGTGTGGTAAGTTTTATCACGTATCTTACCATTCTTCAGTCCCCAGCTCCAGAATTCTTACAGATTATGTGGTGTTCAAACTGATTATAGCAATTAAGCAGCATTACTAACTTTTTGTGTATCTGCCTGTCCATGCATTAACTGTCTGGGAAACAGAGCCTTCCAGAAAATGCACCTATCACTACTAATTTAACTATACTTCCATGTTTCAGTGCATACACTGTTCTTCATTGATCACCCTAGTCAGATTGCCAAAAGAGACACACTGTAAGGCACTCATCTGGATAGTGGCAAAGTATATTTAACTGATAAAAAAAGATATTATCTCCCAAATGTGTACAGACAAAAGACAGTTTTCACGAGTGAGATGAAAAGGATGATTGGCATACACGGAAGTGATTTAACTTTAGTATCCAAATGCTAATTCATTACTATGACAATAATCCTCCCTGGCCAATCACCTATCAATATTTACCAAAGCAGGACCTCCACCAGGTCTATACAGTCAGCCCTGCATCATAGTTAATACAAGTTTCAAAGTGAAAAGCATAATATATTTGTAAACCAAAATTTTACATCCGCATTTCTCATTTGCATCAGATTAATAAGGTGCTATTATTTTGGATACACGTAAAAGCAACATAGTTTACACCGAAACTTGCTCATGTATTATATATTTCATTATACCATTTCTATTATCTAATATCTTATTGAGTACTGCACTCTCATACTATTTGGATCTCCATAATCTGGGGTTAACAGACTGTCAGAAGAACCTTACCCACTACCTCTGAAAATTTTAAGTGACCAATTCTAAGGTATTAAGTACCAGGAATGAGGGTGCACCTCCCCTCATCCACAGACAGAGAGACTAATAGTTATTCTAGACTGCCAATTCTTCACAGAATTACTTTTTGTAACCGAGAACACTACTGAGTCACAAAGACACACAGTCAGTGTTGCCTCAATGGGTCTGCATAAAGTAAGCCAGGATTATTTAACAAAGCACCCTAGAACGTATCGTTTGGTTTTGCTATTACGAGTTTCTCTCCCCCTCCTTCCCTCTCTTTCCTTCTCCTTTTCTTCCCTCCCTCTCTCTCCTCTCTCAGTAGTCTGAGAAAACAACCAGGGTTTCTTTTTTCTTTCTTTAATTTTGAAATCATTTTAGATGGACAGAAAAGTTTGAGAGACAATTCAGGAAATTCTTGCATTTCCTTCATTCAACTTCTCTATTTAACACACTTATTAACTAAAAAAATTACGGCAAGTACAGAACAATGAACTATAGTTTCTGCTCAGACTTGTCAGCTTCCCTGCTCATGCCATCACCTATGTCAGAATCCAATCTAGGAAGCCACATTGCGTTCAGTCCTCTGTAGTTGGTCTTAACGCACAACATCCCAGGTTTTCCTTCATACTTGTTTTGCAGAACTTTCCTCAATTTGGAATTGCTCTGGTGTTTCCTTAGGATTGGGCTGAGGTCAGGGGGCTGGAAGAGGAGGGTGCAGAGGGGACGTGCCCTCACTTTCTGACATCCGAGAGCATGTGACAGCAACATGACAGCGCTGCCGACCGGGCAACTGGCATCTGCAATGTCTCGCCACTGCAGAGTAGGCTTTCTCTTTCCAAACTGTATTGATTAGCGGTGGGTCATTACAGTGATCCCATACAGGGAGCGGGGAAATGAAGCTTTACTTTCTGAATCTGTAGACATTTATTCAAACAGCCACAGCAAGTATAAATTTCTGGGGGATACTCTGGTGCCATGCAAAAACTCTGTTTCTTAAAGTTTTCCTCATTAATTTTAGCATTCATCTGTGAATCTTGCGCCTGCAGCAATTACTGCTGGGGTGTTCCAATGGCGTTTTCATTTTCCCCCATTTCTTCTACTTGTATTATCTGAACTTCTTGTACAGGGAAGCTATGTGCTTCTTCCTTTGCTTCATAAGAGTATTCATCTTATTCTTTGCTTTATAATCAAACTTTATCTTCACTAACATTGTTGCTCAAATTGTTCTAGCTTTGCCACTGGCTCCTGAGACTTTATAACTGGCTTCTAGTTTTTTCCCAGAGGAGCTCTTTACCAAGATTTTTTTTTCTTCAGAATAAAACTACCTTCTAAGTCCAGGCTACAGTAAGCAAGTACTACCAGTACT